CCATCCACTTCATTCATGTCCTTTTTCTTGTATATCTTCTGGTGGAACTAGACGCTAATACATTGGAATCCGTTCACGCAAGCAAAGATATAAAAGCTCTACAATACCTTATCTAGGAAATATACTATGCAACGAACAGGTTTTTAGAACTAACCTGGTCGATAACATGTATTCTTAAACATGTTTCTCGTTAAAAAGCCGTATGGACTCTAATATTAAAAAAACTCATTTAATTCCAGCTAGTCGATCTACTTAATTTATGTATATATGTTTGCAATCATCGGTTTTTTTCACCTTTTCCATTTTTGTAAAGGAAACTCGTTGAAATGCTTGGTGCTAAGAATCCTATATCGTACCAAAAATATAATGCTGAATAAAGCCATTATTAATAATAATAAACTGAAGTTATTTAAACTACAAATATTATTGAAAACTACAATCACGTATAAAGATTTTATTACTTCATTTTAGATTTTAGTCACGGAAGGATATCAGTTGAAGAGTCATTATTTCATGGTTAGTGCGTTCAGTGTTCAGAAACAAATTATGACTTACGGAATTAACTAAATCAGAAGTGAGAATACGTCCCAGTTACTTTGGATTTCGGATACTAAATTTAGTCTATCGAACATGTATGCAAATTAATGTCACAAAAAGTCTGTTCCGCAAAATTTAGCTTACAGAAAACTTATCACCCTCTAAAGCGCTCTTCATGTGGCAATACACTAATCCCATCCTTCTCTGTTGTTCAAAACATCCCTGAAGATCATCGGTAGTCAGGATCTTTTTCTCTCTTAGCACATATTCGTCTCGTTTTCACCTCTTAATGACCATTTTGGGTTTCGAAGATGAAAATAAATCTAATTCTAGTGATTTAATTGAATGATCTATTGTGGTGATCAGATTGTTTTAAGTTTTTATAGTACCCATTCTAGTCATCAATGTTGATGAAAGCGATTCCGATTTTCTTGAGACACTCCATGAAACATGGCACAACTACTGTGGTGCATTAGCCGCCTTAGTTTTTCTTGCCCAGTTATTGCCGTTAAAATAGTTTATTATACTTTTTGCATAATAACATTTTTATTACATCAGCTAGCTTATTAATTCAACAGATTAGAAACAATCAAAAATCATAGATTAGTGGCTAAATAAAGATCAGTTTAGAATTCGAGGACTCCGAATTGAAAAATACGTTAAATAGATTGGTGTTGTATACAATAATGTACTAATATTCAAAACTTACTCGCAATTTCCTATTTGCTACTGCATCATGGCTAATTATGATTAAACCCTACTTGGAATTTTGAAATTTTACCTAGGCATATTCACCAGAAAAAGTGATTTTCAATTCTGTAAGAACCCTATCTGTAATTGCAGTAGGGCTTCACCAACTTATCTATAAAAATACTTATTTCGTAATGACTCAAAATGTAACTCCTGAAGTTCTAGTAAAAAACTGTAATCAGTAGTGTACAACCAAGTGGGATGTAAAACAGTTATCCACAACAGGTAATGAAAAATGGCTGCGCAACATTGCAAATTGAATAGAGTTACTAGACTTGTAAAGTTGGTTGCTATGTTAAGCCCACCAAGCTTATTCTAGCTTCCGTACAAGCCGATTTATTTTTTTTTGAGTCACATTTTGACCTTGCTAATTATTCGCTTATCAATCTTGACAGTTTTTATATGAGCATATGTGTGTGCATTTCTTATCTTACTCATCACATGCCTATAACTTATTTTTGTTCGGCTATAAATATTGATCAACGCTTGATTAAGTGGAGTTAGCTCATATTCCTTCTCCACCGCATATCACTTCGCTCTCTTCTCGTAGTTTCCTTCGCTCCGTCTCGCTGATTGTGTTTTAATCAATGATTGTACAAAATATATGTATTCTAAACTTCATTATCGTATTTGACTTATTTAATTCCGTTACTCACTAACGAGAATTAAGTCAATGGTTATATAAAGGGATAGACGACGTGTATTTCAATAATAATCAATCAAACGATCTACGTGCGAGGATAGCAGGAATGTATATTTCGACAGCAATCATTCGATAACTATCATTCATACGATCCAAATGGAGGCAGATATAGGGTCACTAAAAACTAATACACCAGTGTATTTTGGCTCAGTGATCTACAGGTTGTGTCCACGCATGGGACCGAAGTTCATGGGTTAGATCCCAGGAGTCAGTCGTAAATACGTACTGCCGACAAGTCCCATACTAGAATGAAACGGCCACCTTATACTCTTAGATTTCAAATGGTAGTCCAAGATTATTTCGTGACTTTAAGCTATAAAATCTAAAATCTCCACAAACCCCCCTATCTTATAAATGCAATAACTTTTGAGAAGTGAATGGAGCGGTCTCATAGTTCAGATGCGCACAATACTACATTTAACGCACACTTTGAAGTTGATAAAGTATTGCTATTCACTAAAAATCTATCCAATGTTATAACATTTTTAGGTCTTCTGGTAAGTGTCAATATTTTTCGTGATAACAGTTAACACAGAAGCTGTTGTTATGCAGAAATCTGCATCTAACAGAATTCAAAATCTCATTCTAACACATTTGGAAAACCTTGTAAGCATCAAACCTATGTGAAATTATTAAACATTTGTACCGTAATCATACTATATCGGCGTATTGAATAGCACTTACATTTAACGTACCTGATGGACATTACTTAGCTGGGAATAGGAAATAAGAGGAACTGCACGACGGCGCCACAATAATCATTGGTAATATTCGTTGAACCGAATTTCCAAGACAAAATATTATGTTGATAGGCTAATTTATGACGTGGTTGAAGTAAGCCATAAATAAATGTCGTATCTAGTATAATTGACTGACCCTTTATAGTAAACAACTGTCACAATCGGTTAGTGAATTTAGTTAGTAATATTAGGAACACGTGCAAATAATTCTAACAGCTTCAAATAACAGAGATTTATTTTTAAAACAACTAATCACTGAGATGAAGTAACATTCAGCTCTAGTTTAAATAGTTACGCGATACTAACGAAGTATACAAACTTCGATTCTGACTAGAACAATAATTTGATTTTAATCGGAGATCCAAAAGTTGATAGAGAAATACTTGATTCACTTCTCTATTCACCCTTATTGTTTAGTTTTATCCAATTTCTCTTCCACAGAATAACAATATCAATAAGTAGTTCGTAATCCAACAACTTACAGTCAATTAGAAAAATGGATTTCCCTAGACTAATTCGGTATGAATAGCTATTGGGTCTTCGAGGCATAATAATATTCGACTTCCCGAGTTTATGAATAATTAGAGGGATTAGTACTTTGTAGCTGATAGTTATTAGTAGTGTTTGCAGGCTTTCAACATCACATTATCTACATGTCAGCCGCTATCTTATTTGTTTTAAGAGAATCAGTGAATCCTATAGCAGTGATGAACACGTATTATATTAACTTTCGTACTTTTACAGTGCACTAATAGACTATAAGCTAGTTATTTAATTATCATGAAATTAATGTTGTTTGGATCACGCCTACACAGTAAACTACAATGACCTTCTATTTTAATATTAAATGCCGAATCCCAATCAAGAAGGATTTGAAAGATTGTTAAGAAATATTTGAATTAACATAAAACGGTACACATTGATTACTTGGATTCTAGAAAATAAGCTTGTCATGTATTGATGGTTTGTGTGATGCTCAGAAAAACATGGAAATCCCTGTACGACAATTGCAGTGTTGGGCTTTATTTTCAGTCCAAATCTGATGAACTTGATTATGATAGTTTGGTTGGTACGTTTTTGTCAACGTACAATATTTCAGTAGAAACCGAACATTTTACACAATAATACGTACGCCAAAAGTTATAACTGGAAACTATGCAAAATATGAGACTAGTCACTACAAAACGAAGATGTTCAATGAACTCCACAATTCCAGACGTTTTGTTTACGCTATCTGACTATGAACAATGTATTGTACCAGGCTTTAATAAAAAGGTAGTTTGTACCCATGGTCAGTTTCGAAATATATCATTCGATGGAACTTTACAAATATATGAATCAAAATGTTCGATGATTCTCTCAAATTTGATAGGCTTCTGGTCCTAATTTTTATAATGTAGATACACTGTTCGGAAGACCATTTATGAGTGGTGTTCAGAAATTCGAAAGGTGAAACTACGTTTGAGATATCGGCCTACACATGGCAATTCTAATGTTTCATTAATTAAATGTAGAGACTCAAATGCTAGTCGTCACCTAGTGTAACATTTAAAATATATTTCCATCTGTCAATAGTCTTGTTAACAAGCATAAGATAACAAAATCATCAATTAATTAATCTTATTAATTAGAATAACATTTGTTATTAAACCATTTAAGCTTAAATAAGTTGTCAGAATTAGACAATCGGAACTATTTTTTATCATCAACCAAACCTAGAAAAGACATTTACTTAAACCCAATCAATCTCATAAATAATACTACCATTCTGAGACAACACATGAATCCTTCATTAAAAAAATACAGCAAATCATAATAATTATTATCAAGCTAATTGGGCCAGTAAATTTACATAATACCCGTGAATACGTTCGACATTCAGTGAATACTGATGTTCAATAAATGAATTCACAATGTTTTCGAACAATAATTACTTCGCGTTTAAATTTAGTAGGCACATATAATTAATGGGTCAATTTGAATTAATCCTATACCAATGTCTATCAGTTACTGAGACATGATGATGGTGTAAACATATCCGAGATATCCTTAAACGATTAGATTTCAAGTTATCGCTGCATTTAATCACCTATTTTAACCACTATCACGAAACTCATTTATAACTTTGTCTCAAGAAACTTTTTCATTTCACAAGAACTAATGAAATTAAATTGTTTTTATTTATTTGAATTGAATAAACTAATAAAGACAGTATAAAACCTTTTTTTATTGTGTACTGTATTTCAAAGAGAAACAAACAACAACAATATAGTAAACTTAGCTTATTTTATTTCTAAATCTTACAATGGAATTTGTAAGGAATCAAATGCATTGAAGAGATGAGTTACTTTAGCACTTTAAAATTTGTATGACTTATTAATAAAGAAGAAGGTGATTAAATAATTAAGCCTGTTCATCTTTGAAAAAAAATGTCAAATGTGGATAATTATGAAAAAATTTTAATACGACGAAACAAAAAGAAAAACATAACATAGACTATAGAGAAAATTGACGTATAACATGGATAGGAAAATGTACTACGAACAATTTATATTGACTTAGTACAAAATTAGAAGGCGATAAACGTATCAAACAGCATTATTCTTCTTCGATAGAATTTTTTATTTTATTTCAGATGAAAAATATCTGTTCATATAAAAATAAATCTCTTCTATCAAAAATAGTTATTAGTATACAACGAATTTCCTTGATTGATTTACATTACAGAAAACTACATTTTTGTGGTCAGTTACTTTGCATTTTTCTCTTTAAGAAGTGAAGTAGGTAATTAGAATTTTTGGAGCACAAAAAGGTGAAGTTTCAATTAAAAATAAGTTTATTAATCTAAGAAGGATTTTAATAAAAACCGGACTTTCACAACACAGCGACGACAGTACACTAAAAGATGATAAACAGAAATAGAAAGACATCGAAAAATAAACAAGAGGGATATGTGTTGAAGTAATAAAATTAAATCTCAGAACAACAACAAATATACCCACCTACTATTCTAATCATTGATGATTGGATCTTATTCTTACATAATCAGGAGATACTGGACAGCTATTTCGTTCCAGTAGAGAATTCATCGAGAGTATTCATCGAGAGTATTCATCCGTGACTCCACCAAAGGGAGTCAAACCCATGTCTTTCGGTCCCGTGCACGAACACTTAACCTGTAGAGCACTGAGCAGAAACCCAGTTGTGTAGATGCCAAATAACTTCATTTAATTTGCAATATTGAGCGGCCATTTTTCATTACCTGTGGTGGATAACTATTTTACACCCAATATGGTTGTACACTACTAGTCACGGTTTCTGACTAGGACTTGAAACGTCGGATCTAAAAGTTAATCACTAGTGAGTGTGGAATTATTAGTAGTACAGGGATTTTGTGGAGTTGGTGAACTTTTATAGTTTGCACCGCAGAGTCCCACACTAGGACAAAACAATTGTTCAATCATTCCTAGTTTTTAGTGGTGGTTTATCTAATATCAGTTCGTGATGTAAACTACGAAAGTTTGCCACTCTCTACAAAACTCCTGCATTCACACAAATAAGTATGACAGTCACTGGATTTGAGGCCAACTCATTCGCGGATTTGCGTCAATAGTTCAGTTTTTAAGTGATTTTCGATCGACCACATTATATTTTTTTGCATCATCTATCGAGTAGTCAAATATTGATCATGATGACAACCAAATATACACAAAAACTCTCACTATAATAAATGATTTGAACAAAATATTCAGAAGTCGCCAATTAGTAAGTTACTATGTTACTTCTTAACCGAGTTTCTTACCGATGAGAAGCATAATAAAGACTAGATTTACTCGTCTTAGTTAATAAAACCTTTGAGACAGATTTTCAAGATAATGGGATGATAAAAATCCCAGACTAATTGTCTTACTGTTGAAATATTTTAAAGTCGAAACTCACTTTATATTAACACAATTATCTAAGCTGTTGTGTGTGTCAAAATTTGATACAACACATCTAAAATACTGGCAAAGTCTGAAATTGGTTCCACGGATAAAGCAAAACCAAAAACTACTTTTAAATACTGAATTCATAAGTAAAAAGAATTAAAACTTGATGTTAGCTGACAGACACTGGAAATTAGGCACTGGAATACTGTCTCATCCTATGCAATAAAACAACTAATCAGTACGTATCAATAATTCACCATGATATCATAAATAGACCACGAATATCAATTGTGATAAGCAAGTTAGGCTCATGCATTTTGCCCAGTGACAGGTAAAAAGACAGAACGAATCAATAACACGTGGTTTTACACGAGCATAAAAAACTGTTGAAAAAGGATGAGATAGAAAAAAAAACAAACCTCACTGAGAAACTAGTGTCAACTCCTCTTAAAAATCAGTGTTGACTGAGCTTGTCACCTTACTACTATCGATTGAATCCATAATGCAGGTACTGGTAGATTCCCTACTGCAGTAACTGACCGTATCCTTTAGTTTTTTAGGTGGACTTATTTTAAATAGATCCACAGTATCTTTTTTATCATCTTCATCCAATACAAATTGAGTAGGACTAAGTCGAAAAGGATTGTGAACATAAGCACTTAAACGCTTAGATGCAGCTAATACAAGTCCAACAAAGAAAATTGATGGATGAGTAGGTCGACTTGTATATTCAGGATGGAACTGAGTAGCTACGAAGAAAGGATGTCGAGTAGGACATTTATTTTCTAAATCCGAATCATTTTCAAATTGATGCAAAGGTTGTAATAGCTCAATGATTTCCATACGATTGCCAACTTCTGCATCTCGACCAACAACAATAAGACCTGATTCTTCGAGTTGATCGACATATTTTGGATTTATTTCATACCGGTGCCGATGACGCGCATCAAAGTATGGTGCATTAATTAACCGGTGCATTATACTATCTGAATTAAAGGTTTTCGATGAAGTGTATGAATCATTCGCTCTACATTCAGATAAAACTTTTGATTGTGAATCTAAGTGAGAACATATAAGTTCTGAACATTTGTAGGTACGTTGTAAGTATGATTTAGAAATTTCCGATAGATACAACAATGTACGGCGTCGACCAAGTCGCATTGTTCCACCCATAATTCCGGAATTATGTTCAGGCATATCAATGATCACTGGATGAGTGGTATTTGGGTCAAATTCGGTGGAATTAGCGTCCTAAGTAAAAGAACAGAACAAAACACAAGTCAAAATATCACACGGAGCAACAACAATAAATAAAAAAATAAGTATCCGTCAGTAGTAGATAGTGATAGCTGACCTAAATGTGTATCGGTCCAAGTTGTCTTAGTTCCAATTGGGTCATAGTGAGAAGAAATCAACAAGATATGAAGGAAAATAATTAAATTTTGGTGACAACTTACCATTAGCTTGAACTCCGTCAATATTGTTCGAGTGCACAGTATCCGAACTTATGTTTACTTTTAGTACACTTTTCAAAAATAAATACGATCATAAAGCCTGTTAATTAATACACTGAATTCCATCTTCCGGTAAAGAAATAAAACTAAAAACAGTCAACATTAAGTCTGTTTACCTTTTAAGGCCTTATCTATACATCCATGTTCACGTCTGAAGTAGAACTATTTTTCTCGGTTTGTGATTCCTGAGCTTCAATTAGGAGTTGTATTGTTATCGAAGCTAGTAAATTAAACTTCAGCGCCTTTCCGTCTTGCTAAGAACTGTGTGATGTATATTCTCACCTCCTTAACAATCGTTCTGGAACTTTACTCACTGTTATTTCATGAGACCATTGCGTTGACTATTTACTAACCTACAACTAAGTTTTCTACAATACTACGTGTATCTGAGCGATGACGGGGTGAGTTTTCAAGTATATGTTGGCTTGGTACAGGCTTACAGAATCCATTTATCTTTCCTCACCTACCGGATAAACGTTATCTTTTTTGGTCAGCCAACAACCTAATTAGTTTTCTCTCAGAAACACTCTTGATGTTTTCATTTTCGAGTTATCAAGAGTGCATAATGAAGAAGAATATACAAACAAACTACTCCGTCGAAACAAAGAAGTATTTATGTGCGAATTTTCCAAGATATCAAAACTTGTATTGATGTCAAAATCCAACTATGCCTAAAAATCGAAAGTTGTGTGATGAAGGACACTTAACCTAAGTTTATAGTGAAATGCCTAACATCTGGCGAATACTGAGGATCAGGCCACTACGTTTACAATTTGAACGAACGTTAACTTGTCTCTCTACGTCACATATAGTTTGCACAGTGTTATGACAAACAACAATTAAAATGGAACTGGTATTAGACCTACACTACAAACGGTTCGCACTTGAATTACGTAGGTTGATGAAGTTAAGCTATCAGCAAAGCTAAACTTGAGATGGTGGAAAAGATTTGTAGCTCAGGTGGGTGATTTTGGTGGAGTTTTGTTCTCTGAGCCGAATGGTTTGGTCGTGGAGCTTTCATCGTTCTTCTGAACGACATCATCAGCACAAACTTCAGGACCTGCATTTATTGACTAGTCTTAACAAGTCTACAAAACAAAGAACTTGCTATATATATGATATTTCATCGAGGAAGGAAATTAGTAGGTTTGCTTAAACTTATCAGTAGGATAAACTTGTAGATTCCGAGACAATTATGAATTGTTTAAGATTAAAATCCTAACAGAGCCTCTTACATAAACATAATCTGTCAAAATACTGTAGAGAAATAAATGAAGATTAAAAACTAATGGTTTTATTTTAGGAGTTAAACTAGTGGAAATAACTGTTAGTCGAATGGAGAATCAAGAGTAATTTGATTACATAAAACGAGTGTGACATTTAGAAATGTGACTGAATAATAATCATTGGTGCCATTATTACTGTATTGGTCAGAATTACTGAATAATAAGAAATCAAAGTCTTAAGAAGAAACTACTGAGAAGTACCGGTAAACCATACACGGTGCAAATGCATTAACATCTGGGACCTCAGAAAATAACGTTAATATTATGAAAGGAACATGAACACTAATCATAGAAATGATATACTCCATGTCTAACTTGGTGTTCCTTTAGTCAAATGATATGCGGGATAGAGTGCAAATCAAGACGATGCTCTTTTATACTCAGATATTCAATGTGAATATTCAGAAACTATATGGATCTGTCGTCAATAATAAACACTTTCCCAGTCAATTAAAAGGTATGACAAAGACTTCTTGGAATCAATGAAAAAAATCAATAATATTCTTCTTCTAAACAGACAAACTAAGGTTATTAATTAAATCAATGTTACAATATCAATTATACGACCCGCTTAAGGAAAATTGTCTCGGAAGAATCATGATATTGGATATGAGAAATTAATTTTAGCGCAGATGGACATTAAACCTCAGGTAGCAATCAATTATGGTGTACATTTCCATTGGTATATAGACTAGCCTTATTAAATGCCATAGTCAACTGTTTCTCTTTAATAATGTTAAATGAACTTGCTAATCTGAAGTGCAAAATTGCATCTGAAAAAGGTAAAGCTTGACTTCTAAAAAACTTGCATCACTACACATACATTTCCCAGACAGTTTTATAAATACTTACGATCTAATGAACTGCATCCAAAGGTTTATAATCTTTTGGTAGCTTGCGAAATCTCATATGGAAATATGTGATGAAATTATAAATAAACTAGTTGAACTTCATATTCATGCAACACAAGTGTTATAGAATATTTCTGTAATGTCATATTAAATCTATGGACTTCTGTAGTTTAGTAGTTGCTAAAACAAAGGATACTAAACAAACGCTGAATAAATACATTATTGATGATAGTGATGGGAATTCATTTCAATTTAACTCAGATAAGTGTGTAACAAATTTATCAGTTAAAATTTCTGTATTTGAGAAGGAATCTCTATCTATCTGATTTAATTTCTCCGTCGAAATTTCTGACTTATCGATCGATGCTCAGTTTGAAACTTTCTATGATCCGCTTAACTTTCTTGTTCCAACCGCTCCAAATAAGCAAAATTAGTTGATATTGCCCACCACTTCATGATTCTCAAATCATGCACAGGAATATTTTGACGCTTCAAAAAGCCTACAAAGTAGATCAGATATTGTGATCCTCAAACCTGACAAAGGTTCTAGGGTGATCGATATGAATAAATGTGACTACAAGGTAAAAATGTTAACTACACTTGGTGATCAGAGTAGGTTTCTGGTGGACGTTTCATCCAATATTAGAAAATTGGAGTCCAGAGTCGAGTCCAATTTACTAAAGCTTCTTCAAATGAATATCATAAACAAAGAGGAGTTTAATATACTAAAACCTCCGGGTTCTGTTTTCCCGAATTTATATGGATTACCTAAAACACATAAACCCAATAATCAATTACGACCGATATTATCTATGTGTGGTTCACCTACACGTAAACTAGAAAAATGGTTAGCTAAATTGCTAAACCCAATCCGTAATAAACTGTAAGTTTTCCTTAGAAGATACATTTGAACTAATTGATCTTCTTGATGGCATTAATATTAAAGAAAAGACCATACGTTCTTTTGATACAAACTCTTTTTAAGAATGTACATTTAACTAAGACTGTTGAGTTCCTTTGTAGCCATATACCGAGTAATTTGCCCTTTTTTCCTATTCGCTCAGCACTGTTGGTAGAACTGTAAAAGTTCAGTTCATGATTGAAGGTGAACATTTTGGACATGTTGATGAATGCACGATACATATTTTCGATTGTGTTAGGGTAAATTGCAATCTTTTATTGTTTTTTTTAAGAAATGACTTACTTTCCAACCAAGTACGTTTCTGGAAAATTCAATCACAGCACATTGGAGGCCCAAACAAAGACCCAAAAACGGCACACCTCTTTCTCGACAGAAGCGTATAGCAGCTAGTTTCCCGTCAACACCTCGCTGACCAAAACCTCCAGGAACAACAACAGCATTAGAGCTACTCAAAGTGAGCCAAGCTTGATGAAATGCGTCTGGACTCACGATACGGGTGTTTTCTTCGAGATCCTCAGCACACACAAGTGAAAGATCCAGTTTTAAATTTGTATAAATTGCAGCATGACGAAGAGCCTGAGGAAAGAACATAAAGGTAATAAAAGCCAGACCAATGTGAAACGAAGCGTAGTTGGATATTGATTTTAGCGAACCTTTTCCATTTTCCAAGTTAACATCATTTAATTTGGATCATCTGGATTACTCAATGGAGATTCAAGGGGAAAGTACGTAACATCAAAATTAAAAAATGTCATCACTGTCAGTTTTAAAAGAGAGATAACAGTTGTTTGTTAATACGAGGATGAAGGATAATCGTTAATTCCTTAAGAGTTTGGTATTTATAATACTGTTGCTGGCAGGACATAAACTGGATTAAAGCATGCCCAATGCACGATTGCTTTGGTGCACGTTGATTGGCTAATTCTTATCCGATCAGCACTAGTCGATAGTTGGAGAATACTCTAGAATCTTCTCATGTAAAAACTATAAATGTACTAACGTTTTCTCTATTGTACTACTTACTTGCTTCTTACTTGCATCTTGCATCCATCTAACCTTGTTATTTGGAATATAATCTCTTTCCTGTTCAACCGTGTTCTGATTTGGGGTCTTGTCGAGTGATTTGGTGTCCAAGGATACTAAGCAATAGGAATAGCTGGGTCATAACCGTAAGAAAGAGATTATAACAATGGCGACCGGGAAAAACTAAAGAAAAATGGCGATTTCTTTAGAACAGTTGCGGTTAATATTACAGCACCAGCAGAAGTTGTTAGCCTAGCAACAACAACTATTGAACACACTTTTCACTCGACCAGAAAATAAGAAATCTATTTATGATGCAAACTTAGTGGAGGGTTCAAATCCTTTTATACCTGAGTCAGAACGTAATATTTGTAACGTGTCCGGCTCACAGCAAGAAAATACTGTGCTAAATGCTCATAAAGTTGTGGCAATACGAGATGATCAAGAGCCAGACCCTGTAGATGAAGCCCGGAGTCCAGAATTGAATGAAGCACTACTGGTCCTGTCTAGCTCTGAAAATAAATTTCAGCTAGAACAAAATTATGGTTCACGTGATATTAGCCGAGAAAGCTATGGGGACTCGTATTCAGAAAATAACTGCAGTGACACGATGAACCCAATTACACCGAGTTTTACTCAAAATGATTGTGAGACAGAAATTTATATTGAATCAGCTTATCTGATTTCTAATGACAGTGTATCAGATATGGGTTCTCAGAATAATGCATGTAATTTTGATGAAATTTCTTATAAAAATGAGGAAAATATGTCGGCTGAGTCAAATTATGGTCAAAAGTCTAATTTAATTTTGTTAGATGTTGATTTCCGTAATGATCCATTATCCACTGATGAAATTCCTAATGGATTTGAAAGTAATGCTTCAGAAGAATTAAACTCTGACCTCAAATCAAAGGTCGTAAATTATCATCTAGTCATTTCTAGTGGATCCGACATTCAATGCGAGAAACATCGTTTAAATAAAGTCCTATTATTTGTAACTTGGGGATATAAGGATCCGACATTGTTTCGCGGAGGAGAATGTTGGAGAACTAAAAGTTATGCATACTTTTTAAAGAAAAAAATCAAAATGCCGGGAACAGACATGTCAGTCTCTGTGCAAGAAAAAAGTGATAAGTCTTTATTGCCTAGACGATTGACTAATCGAAAGCACAAGCCAGTCACTCAGTTGCAGTTGGACCCAAGCACCAGATCCTACGAATCTGCTCAAAGGGGAGGTGTTAGCGGGACATAGACTGGATTAAAGCATGCCCAATGCACGATTGCTTTGGTGCACGTTGATTGGCTAATTCTTATCCGATCAGCACTAGTCGATAGTTGGAGAATACTCTAGAATCTTCTCATGTAAAAACTATAAATGTACTAACGTTTTCTCTATTGTACTACTTACTTGCTTCTTACTTGCATCTTGCATCCATCTAACCTTGTTATTTGGAATATAATCTCTTTCCTGTTCAACCGTGTTCTGATTTGGGGTCTTGTCGAGTGATTTAGTGTCCAAGGATACTAAGCAATAGGAATAGCTGGGTCATAACCGTAAGAAAGAGATTATAACAACTGTCAACCCTGACAATGAAACATTCATTAACAAATAGCTAATACATTAAAGTCGAAATCTTGGTAATATTTGAAGTCGGGTATCATTTTGTACTGATTAGTCACACATCGTCTGACAATAAATTTAATTTACATGCATTAGAGACAGGACACAAGATTAATTTTGGAGGGACCAAAATACTTCAGAAAGATTTTAACACTCATAAATAAAGATTGACAGCAAAAGCGCTCTATATATGGGCGAACAAGAACAGCTGGGACCGAAAGGATGGTATTCAACTAGCGACTACCTGGCAAATATTCATTGCCAAGTAATTAAACCCTTTCTTTATTCAACCTGTTTATTTCAAATGCATCGTTATTTTGACTGGAATTAATGTAAGTTATTTTTAGCAATACAATTACCTATTTGATGATTCTCATTTTACTTGCACTTCAATGATTCAGAAACATTGTTTCAACCTTCAACTTGCACTTTTATTTTTCCTTCATATAAAAACATATTAACACCGAATAATAATTAATAACTCTATCTTACATATACATATTTACACATACAGATAATTTGTTTGTTATTTATTTCCACATCGTGAACTTTTCACATGATTCCCATTGAACTGATTCATGTTATCCTATTTACTAAAACTAACATCCAAATATTGTTGGATTAACCCAGTATAGATTTGATTGTTAAAACGCTACATACATCTTTAATGATTTTGATTATTACCATGAAGAAGTCCAGACAAGTTAGCTGAACGAAACGATGGAATTATTTAAATTTCAATCTCTGAGACTATTTCAAACATAATTTTTATATAAAATGCTTACATTTACTTTGTTTTGTATTTTTAAACAAAAGTTTATTTTCATCAAATTGATGAGTACTATGGTTGCTTATCAATTTAACGACCTTACTAACACAAAAAGTCAGTAGCTTAAATTTCATACGTGAAAATCGTATCAACTGATATTATCCAGTCATTAGCATCGTACTCAATATTTAACGATCTGATCAAATGAAAAGAAAAAATTTAAGACCTGAATACGGTGGATCTTTGACGTACTGTACTGTTTTTTTCTTCTTGAATACAGAAGTCAGGAATTTTACTTCTATTTCGAGATTTTATGCATGACCTTTCGTTGCCAGTTATTGGTCAACCTCAAGGAAAATTCACACGACAAACCAAGATTGTATAGTAAATTGAACGTTAGTGTAGAAGAGCTATTTAAACAAGAGCATTTACCTGAAGTGGTGGCAACTCATGTTTCTAATTGCATGTACCTATGTATCAGTTTTTAGTATAGTGACTTAGTGTATATTAGTTTCCTAGGCAGTTTTACCAGCTCTTACTATCTAGTTTAGTTAACCAAATATCAGGAGCATAAGCAGTTGTAGATTATTTTAAATTCGATCCCACAAATTACTTTATTAACATATTGACACGGGGATTTTACCAAAATATAGCTGATGGAGAATAAAAAATTCAAGCAAAACTGCGTAAAAATAGCTGAGCTTTCCGACAGCAAAGTTACTGGAAATGAATGATCTATGGCATGTAATGAAGTGAAGATTGATATAATCGGTTCCCAGTTAATTAGACCTGAGCAACATAGAACCTGGTGTCGATTTCAGTTACACAACTACAACAATATAGTGAGAAATCACCGAGGGAAATATAATATTAGTACGAATAGTGGTAGTAAAAACGATTAAGGCTCGAGAAATGTGATCTAAAAAAGAAATTACTAACGAAATAAGAGGTACAAAATAATTTTGGAGGGATAAAAAGTGAACGCGTCAGCATCAGTGAACAATTACGAGCCATGTCACCTAAAGCCTCAAACCGTTAGTTACGGCAATCAGGAGGGGAATAGTTTGCACTTACTTATATCATTCAATTTAACAGCCAATGACTTCAGTGAATAATATCACGTCTTGGTTAGGCCGCTTCCTGTTTTCTCTTAATCTAATTCTATTAAATCCGAAATTCCACGTCAAGGTATGTTGGTTCAGCACACATAATACATATTCCAGTCATTTCAGTCGACGAAGATTCGCTATCTCACCAATCGATTCCCCATTCTTAACAAGTACCCTGCGCCTAAAATCATCATTGCTCACTCGGTAGCCCAAACATACACGAACAATGTTTCAGAGGTGCTTATGACCAGATGCAACTAACCGACGTATATTCTCTATTTTGAAGGCCATATTGCATAGCCACAAATTAAAACAAAGCGAAATGTTGACCGGTATACTCACCCCATAGTTAGCAGATGAACATCTCGTCCACGCCTCAAAATATAAAAAGTTAACAGATCTTTCCGATTTCGTGCCATAGTTTGGTCAGAGCACCAACAAACCTAGGCTAATGAGACCTTGAAGATAAGTGAAGTTGTCGACGCCCATGACAACTTTAATTTCCATCAACGGTTTAAACGTTGATATAGGCCAGTTTTGAAATAACATTTTGCATTTAGAGGGGTAAAAATCCAGTCAAAACATGCCTGCATTGTCGATGACGGTGATTAGTAGACTACTTTGTTAGTCGTTACTAAACAGAACTAAGTCATTTGAGGATTTCAATTCGACACGTAATTCCCCTGACCTGAGTTTTGTTAGCATATGCATGACATTTAAAAAAAGCAATAGAAAATAGCACATTAAATTACCTTCAACAATGACAAATAAGCGTCACTAAGTTTGGTATATTTTCCAACTATAGCTATATGGACAACTTCCGATGCCAGCTCCATTTGACGAGTCAATGCTTTCCATTTCCCAAGAATTGGATATTCGATGCGTAGTTTAGGATTCAATTGGAAATGCTCCAGTAGTATTGAGCATAAATTTTGATCATTTAATCGTAAAGGCACTTCATATAAATCACTAACATCTAAGGAAACAATAACCTGTTTTACAAAATGATAATACAAATTTTTTAGCTAAACAAGCACATTTAAAGCAAGATAACAATACATTTTTAGTAAAATAACCATATAAAAGTCAAAACGAAGTTTAAGTTATATGTGTGAAGCCGATCAACCAAATCAATATTTTTCAGTATATTTAGCTTAGATAGTGACCGCTTCTATAGAACCCACACAATGAACAGTGTTCCAGAGTTTGAAAATGAAAATGAGGAGGTTAAGAGCCATCGGTTCATTAAAAAATTATTGAGTACAAGAATATTGGAGATTCGTTTCAACTGAGTGAAACGCATAAAAAAAAAGACCAATCCAGTGTTACCTTTAAATACCTATCACTAAGACTGTGATATAGGTTATATTTACTTAATAACCAATTATACTCTTTTTATATGATTATGGCTGCTATTCACAATTATAGATTTTCTTTACACCACAAACATTCAGAATGTGTGTTTTATACTCATTTCTTCTGACTGACGATAAGTAATTCCTATTACTATGCTATTTGTGTTAATTTACATTTTAGAGATACGTAAATATATTATAGATTAAGTTTCACTTGTTTCAATGTCACAGTAATACCGAACGTGTTTGAAAAAGAAATGATATCACTTAGTAAATATTTTAGCAATAAAGAATTAGTAAGTAAAATAGTGAAGAAATTGTTGATTCTTTACGAACTTAAAAATCAAAAATATTATCAATGAATTATAAAGTAGAAGAACCAATAAGTGGGAACTTGACGAACACATAAATATTGGTACGAGGGAGTACCAAATGCATATGTGCCACACAATAATAATGAGAATGGGAAGAGATAAAGAATGTAAGGTGCGTGTAAAACGAAAAAAAGAACAATAACAACCACAAATTGGTGTATGGTAGTAAAATAATAATAAGTACTTTGAACATTCTATAACACATGTAATTCACACTCAACAAAAGAACTGTAATATTTAGTCAGACAAACCATACAGTTTAAATGGTTTTTCTGCAGTCATTGTTTATAAACGACAGTAACAGTATTTTATCTTTCAATACAAGTGAGCAGCTGAAGAGCATCTACGAAAACAGAATAAAGAAGCTATGGTATTCTGCTTTAATCATTGTCTTCATCTCATTTTAATCCTATTAACTTTACTTTTACAGATGTGGATCCAGTCACATATCTCTCAGATATATTACAAACTAACTTTTTAGGAATGGATTAGTGTTACTAATGCTACTATTAATGCTATATTAACTAGACTAAAAATAATTGCAAGACAACATTAAAAAATACAAATCTTCATATGAACATGGGGAGAGTTTTAAGCGAAGTGAATTGTGAACTAGGATTTCATAGTCACCTGTTTTTTCGGGTAATCTAGAAAATATTAGTAAGTAAAGAAAGATGATTCGTAGTAAGAAACTCTGGTTAAGTAGGAAAAAAACTTTCAAAAAGATTATGAATTACTTACACGTTCTACTGCAACTTGACTAAATAGGCTGATTTTGTTGATGACACTAGAGGGTAGCGGTGAACTACAACGACACATAAGAAGATCTGGATGTAAGCCGCAGGCACGCAGTTCACGTACGCTTGCCAATAAATTCGATACGAAGTAAAGAAAATCATAGGTTAAAAAAATAGTTTGCAATATCTATGAAGAAATCAATGGTTCTGTTTGAAAAAGTTTTCAGCTTACTAAAACGTAATAAATAGACAAGTAAGAAAATCCTTCCACGTAAACTAATAGAGCACGATTTGAAGTACATAATGTATCAACATATTTGAACAATTGGAATTTATCTCAATTAACAACTTCGTATTAAGAATCGCTTGCTAATCTAACTAATCTTCCGTTACCTGAATCATAAATATTGATACGAACAATCTTTCTAACGCACAACTCTACCACATAACGTTGTTGAATTCAGGATGAATTTGCGATGTAACCCATAAGAAAGTTTGCAAATAAATGTACAAGATGGATGTCATTTAAAATTGCGCGAAATCAAACAAATTTAATTTTCTCATACAGTTTAATTTCGACAAAAATGCCATGTACAACATACGATAGCGTAGATATATACTATATACTTATACCTGGACCTCGGGGGATTTGATTATTAGTTGTTTGGTGTAAGATATCTTACGACAGATTGATATCAGTGAAAAAAATACATTCAAAATTACGGAGTGTAGGAAAGTTATTCCATTTTCCTTTGAATATCTTCAGTAGTGCATGAATGGAACAACTAGTGATGCTCAGTAAGAAAAAAGCTATCTAGACTGCATTAATTAACAATGAAAACCACCACTAGAATAGATTCATTAATCACTGGTTATTATAAATCGAAGTGTTTTAATTCGATAGGCAGAAAAATAGAAAGGTATGAACTTTTTACCAGGTGAATGATTAAATATCAATCATTTACAACTAAAATATAAATAAAACCACATGTAATAAATATTTAGTATTACTATAGTCCGTAAGAACGAATGATACCAATTTCCTCATACTTAGGAGTACTGTTTAGTGAACTAGACAGATGCAATTTAAAAAAAGCTAAAAGAAAATTAAATCAGAAAAGCTACATTCTATTGATAGAGAATAGGATAAGGAAAAACGTACTGCGTTTATTTTCAAGTTAGCATTTGAGAGAGACTGTTAACGGTTAAAAGTAAAATATATGCAGTACCAAAAAAATAATAAATCGACAACATTCACCTATAACAGCAAACCAATAAGTATAGGTTACGGAGAAATTTTAATATATCCATTAAAAAAAAAGTAAATCTCCGTAGAAATAAATACCTCAATTCCGTTAAATGAATAAAACAGCTGTAAAGAAAAGATTAAAAATTTTTTAATATATGCAGAGAAAATAATCTTCTAGTAAATATCTACCTTGACAGTTCCCACTCATTTCTACTAAGTGTATTATCCGTCATAGCTGTGAGACTGGAAATTATTTGCTGTTGATGCACCTTAGTAAAGATCATGCCCGACCATTGCTGCTAACTTGACATGGTGGTCGGGCTCACCTATCGTAATGAACCAATCGAGCTATACTGGTTGGAACAATCGTTCCTCACGGTCCTACCATGTCAGACAAGTCGGTTGAAGAGCAGTAAGATTAAAAGCAGCAAACCTAAGGTCCGAGGGCGAAGTTTTATTGCCGACTGTACGGAGGTGGGATGGCAGTAAGGTGTTTCCTTTAGGCAACTAGCATTACGTCGATGCTGTCTTCCTACAAGAAAGGATGAAGTTAGAGAAGGTCGACCCTAAAAATGCACACCTCACCTTATCCCACAGATTTCCGTCTCCGGAGGTAAGGTCCCAACAAGTACTGAGCTAACACGAACACTACTCACAAAAAGATCGTGTGTGACCAGTCTCAGGCAGTCGTTCCTCGAGCACTGCGGTCACTTTCTCGGGTCACTAAGGCCACCTCTAACCCGATTTCCTTCTCAGGTACCTCTAGAAGAACCTTTCCATGATGTGGGTAGCCGGGAGCTGATAACTGCCCTCATACCTCTAACAGCACTCAAGATCACTGACTGAAATGTCATGCATTCGACTTTCAGTTATATGTTTAGTAAGACAGTCAGATTAAACTATTTGGCTCCTTAAACTAAGGTAGGCAATGTTGGGTCCGGACACACAAACTAGCTTCAGAGATGAGTTGTTTAACTACGAGGCTACAACTAAAGCTTACACTGAAAAAAAATTTCTTTGAAGTATCTTTCCAAAGAATATCTTCCACAAAAACTTCAGACAGAAGTGAGTTACTGGAATTTCTCTATATGTGACTAACAGCTTTTTTGTGAAGATTATCTGATTGGTTGTTGTTAATAGAGGTTATTTCATTGTTTGGACATTTGCTTTAATTGTCTTCCATCTTGGTTTAGTTCTTGGTCTTATGGTTATTTATGGTTTTGCAATTGGTTGAGAAATTGGATCCATTGCAATATCTTCATCGATTCCTGATTGACCTGGGTGCCAAAACTCTAAGTTACCTAGTCCTTTATCTACTCTTTCCGTCTGTGATAGGAACATTTCTATAACCGAACGCATATCCACATTGGTATGAAAGAAGGCATGGCGTTACTTGTGACAACTAATTGTTAATGGAGATGGTGATGAAGAGGATGGCCACTTTGGTTGATGCAATGTTTCTGATAGCTAGAGAAATTTATTTTATAGATGATGTTTAACTTTTCTTTAGTCATTTTATTTTTTGGTTTGCATAAAATTGATTGAAGTGAGCTTGTTGGCTTAAAAGTGTTCCTAATCATCTGGTTGTGATTTCCGAGAATCAAGCTTGATAGTTAGGTTTTTAAGTTTATTGGTTCATGAGTCAAATCGCTTATGTTAAATAACATGTGGTTATGTTCATTTCTGCGTAAAAAACACCGTTTAAAAGCGTCAATCTTCTAGAAAAAAAACTTTTGCTCATCAGGTTTGCTATCATTTGATGCTGGTTCAAGATTGCCAATAATTCAGATCTGTGAATGGTTATTAGTTGCGCAGTTACATAACGGTTAAGACGTTAGACTTTCGGTAGCTGAGTCTTAAGTTTAGACCCTGCCCCATGTACTTTGATATGGACAGCCGGGTATTTGTACCACCAGTTCTAACACTTTGTGTGGCTCATACTCACGTATCTGGTGAATGAGTTAATTGCATTTTTGTGCATAGTATACCGATTAATTATCTATTATTCATTTTAATAACCAGAAATATCCTCAGAATACCAAAATTCACTACCACCACAGAAATTTACCAGAACAAACAACATAATCCCTTATGAAACTGGGCATACGATGGTAAACAGCTCGAACTCACAGTTCTTAGGTCTTGGCACTGGTTCATAATATGCAAATAAACTAGATAATTAAGGCCACACATAATGTCCTAACGAAAATATGGATGGAATCATGTGTAAAACGGTTTAAAACCCGATGTTTCTGGTATGTGATCAACCACATATATATGATGCATGTTTATAAAATTGGAACAATACTTTACTAAGCTAAGGAATAAATAGAAACTAACTTGGGTAGGTTTGGTTTTAGGCTCTCCAACAGACTGAAGCTGAGGTACTAGACTGACATGTACGCAACAAAAATTGACACTTCCCACTCGAAAAAGCATTTGTCTGAAGGCCTCAACATACGGCATAGATTCAATATCGCCGATTGTACCACCAAGTTCAATGATGCATACCTCTGGGGTTGAACCACTTTCATCTACTGGAATTCGAGAAACATTTGTGACCCATTCAATAATAGCATCTGTGATGTGTGGGACGACCTACGACAAAAACACTGGATTATAACGACTAAAATATACTAAACAAATAAATTTTATGTTATTTAACTCAAAATACAACAAACTTATTTGTGACACATAGTTTCGTGTCGTGGATAACATTCATATCCGGGAACACAGGTCAATTCAACCAAACAATCCATTTAACATCAAAAAGTTACCAGACAGGCAACCGCTTAAACTGATAAAATTAGAAATTAGCATGTTATTGCAATGATTGATATCGCCACACCTGAACATACAAGGAATAAACTAAACTGAACAACGAACAAGAATTGAGAGTAAAAGAACGGGGATAAAGTGTTAAAATAATTAGGTTTTAGAGGAGGATAATGATAGTATAAAATATGCACATATATATAAGTCAAAACATTTGATGAAGCATTCTTACTTGTACTGTTTTCCCAAGGTAATCTCCACGACGTTCTTTTTCAATTACTTTCTGATAAATTTTTCCCGTCGTAATGTTATTATCTTTGGTCAATGTTATATTTAAAAATCTTTCATAATTTCCCAGATCAAGGTCAACTTCACTTCCATCATCCAGAACGTAAACTTCTCCATGTTCAAAGGGGGAGAAGGTACCAGCATCAATGTTTAAATAAGGATCAATTTTTATACACGTAACATTCCATCCGTATGCTTTTAAAATAGTCCCGATGCTGCTAGAGATAATACCTTTGCCGATCCCGCTGATGACCCCGCCAGTAACCAAAATATATTTCACTGTATCCTACAATAAATAAATATTATCCAAAAACACCATATGAGACATGTTTTAGCCTTGAGTAAAATGAAAAAACTGCAGAAACACTAGAATTACATCCTGAAGATCTTGACAAATGTTGACGATATCCTGAATGATTTTGATTGAGAATTAAGAAAGTGCTAAAATAAACGTCCTCAACTACACCAACAAATATTTAGACAGTCACGTCGAACAGCAAGAATTCAATTACCGCGTCAGACTATAATATTAGACTTTGATGCGCGGAGAAATAGGTGGGACTGAATGTTTTTCGTCGAGATTTAGGTATCTGCACTCTAATCAATATTATATACCGTGAATTTTATATCAAGGATAGTTAAGTAGTTATGCTTTTAAAAGTAGAAATTTACTCATTTGATTCATAAAACTAGTTATTGAAAACGAGTTGCTTGGAGCTATATCCCCCAAATACCCTGGTATGGCCGAGAGTGGGGAGAGTTCGCTCTCCCTCTCGAAATGCTCTCACATGACCACGCGTATACAGCCTCTGCCAGGGAAGTCCTACTCACTGCCTTCTCTTGGCAGGGGTGTTGTTTACGAAATTGAGAGGACGAAAAGCGAATGTCTGGTGCTTTGGCCGGATTCCAAACCAATGGTGCACATGGGCTCCAGTATCCTGTGGGAACAAGTGGCGTATGAACCAATTGTTGGCCACCGGCTTTCATGGGACTGCATCTCCTCACGATGCTCCACTGCCTTGTGGATCAGACCTTCAGGTCGAAGGCTCAGGGAGTGGCCTCCTAATAAAACCACCTGCTTCGGTTTGGGCACCCGGGCAGTATCACAGCCTTCACACATATCGAATGAGATTTGTGTGGCGCATATGTATTTGGTGCCTCCTTGTAACAATATCTAAGTGTTAAAATAAATAAAAAATAAAATTGGAGCTATGGCTATTACAAAGAGTGCCTTGTGTGATCAAGACATTTTCGGTATTATGGTTCCCGATTGATATGTGTGCTCAGTCACTGCAAAATTTATAAATAAACTAAACCGTCAAGCCAAAAAACAATAGAAACAGTTAGGACACTTCCCAGTACGCACTTCGGAAAAATAGCGTAGTGTCTAAAGAGACACAAAGCCTTAAAGTTTTGTTTATGGGTACAACTGTTTCGATTTTTTCCAGAAGCCATGGTACAAATCTTACCCATATTTGTTCACTCTAGTATAAACTAATGTGAAAAATCATGAATCATAAACAAAATCCTTTAGATGAGTTAAGTTTAATCAATTCGTATTAATTTGAAAAATAATAGTACAAAATGCTAATTAGGAACTTCATTATTGTTTACTGTTACTGTTATAACTTGTGACCTTTTGCCCTGTATATGTATAACGGAATGATACCACCAATTAGAGAGTAGTGAATTATCGATCGGACCAATGACGCCAAAAACCCGTGCGTGTAGTCCAGAGTACTTATCGGTCCTGCTTCCTGCCTAGCCCAGCTAGTTAAGTTCAGAACACCAATCTCAGTTTCTGCCATATGAATCAATTATTTCAAGCATACTGGGTTTATATACCGATCAGACAGACCACATCGTACCATAAAATGGAAAATAATATTTGTACAAGATTTAGCCAAATGTGACTGTGTGGAAGGTAGTAATTAATAGACAAGAATGGTAAGACGTATAATAATAGTTCATAGGTGAAAATAAAGCTCATAATAAGAGGGGCATGAATATGAATAGTTTAGTTATTTAACAATTATACGATAAGAATTCATTCATTATGCTTATCGGGACATAACAGTTACGCATAAAAGCTCAATGAAGCATGATAATAAGAAATGCTCCACACAAAATTTAAGAACGTAAAGCTTTTCCATTGCTAACTTGAAGGCCATGAGATGAACAAATATCACAAGAATAGTGGAATTGAATAAAGAAAGAACAAATATCGCAGCGGAATAACATGAATTCACTTATTTCGCATATGTATCTGGCGCCCCCTTGTACTAATATTTATGTGTTCAAATAAGTACTTATTTCGTGGATTCTCCACAACTGCTTACAACTTAAAACTAAAACATTAATCATTGAAATAAAACAAGTGTACATACTTTATATCAGGAACGCCTGGAATAAACCGAGTTAAAATGTGAAGATAGAATAATATTATAGTCTCCTGGTATATAAAGTATTTACACTTGTTTCGTTTTAGTGGTAATTACTTTAGTTTTAGATTTCTTAATCACGCCTAATGTTAGGTTTGCTAATTGGATTTTCAGGCTAAGAAAATGACTAGGATTTACACAAAATCTTTCGACAAACAGGAGAAAACTATATATACATCAAATTAAGTACCAAGCATTTTTTTAATTTCCTCCAACGGTTTGAGAAAAACTCCCAAAAGTAATATGATAACGTTAACAAGATTTGAATAAAACCAATAAATAGGTTAAATTAAGGTCTCGTAGTTTTTTTACCTTTAGTAAGGGATCACAGTGACTAATTTTTGAACTTATTAAACTAGTATATTTGTATGACTTAATGTTTCCTGAAATTAAAAGCTAATTTTTCAGGAAATCTATATGTGAAGGGACATAGAGCAAAGTCGCAATGTGGCGGATGGTTTCCTAGTGACAAATTAGATATTTTGACAAAAACAGAAAGGACCTATTCATTTAATTTAATTTCATAAGTTAGGACAATTTATTTATTTATTAGAACACATGAATATTGGTACAAGAGAGCGCCAATATATATGCGCCACACAAAACAATGAGAATTCGAAGAGAAGTAGAAAAAAAAACTAAGGAGAGCAAATAAAAAGAGAACAATAACGAAGAGATTGGTGTAAGGTAGTATGGTAGAAATGAGGGAACGGAAAGGTACAATCAGAAGAAATCTTTCAGGCAAGGGAGACACAACCACTTTTTATGAAGAAAGTAAAAGAAGGTTACAGCAGGATCGCCACTGGCTTCTATTCTGAGCCATATCTGATAACATATCTAGCCACTGCGTTGCGCTAACTCTGGGACCCCAGCCAGGGAGCCGTGAAGGACCAACACAAGCCAGTCCTTTGCAGCTTTCTTTCATACCACGACACCATGTCATGCACTGACGACCTCTCCGCTTCTTCCAACCAGTCCCACAGTCGGCAAGTAATGCACGACGTGAAATTCTCTGGGACGACATTCGTAGAACATGTCCAAGCCACCGAAGTCGGTGTTTCAAGATGGTGACACCAATTGCATTATCGTCTCTGTGCCCGAACACACGATCCCGAACCTCTGCATTACTAACATGGTGTTGCCACTGTATGGCAGCAGTCCTTCGGAGACAACGATGATCGAACACAGAGAGTCGCCTAACGTCCTCAACTCGGAAAGGCCAGGTTTCACAAGCATAGAGCAAAACTGCTCTCACCGACGCGTTGTATATCCGACCTTTAACAGCCGGACTAACATCACGAAGGCGCCAAAAATGTCCCAGATTGGCATAAGTCGCTCTGGCTTTCACTATACGTGTATTGATCTCATCACTCACACCCCCACTAGCACTTATGAAGCTACCCAGATACACGAACTTCTCGACTACTTCTATCTGCTCACCATCCAGGGTGAGTACAGGGTTAGAATCCTGCCAGTCTTGTAGAAGTACTTTGCACTTCGAAGGTGCAAAGCACATACCATACCTACGGACATTGATTGCCAACTGATTAAGTGCGGATTGCATGCCTTGGGCATTATCGCGCAGTAAGACAATATCATCCGCATACACAAGGTTGGGAAGTCTTTCTCCAGGCAACAGATCCACACCGCCATTACTTACATCCATCAGAGCTGTTTCTAGAATGTCATCGATGGCAAAGTCGAAGAGGAATGGTGAGATTGGGCAACCCTGTTGTTGGAGAATTAAAAGTTATGCATACTTTTTTTTAAGAAAAATCAAAACGCCGGGAACAGACATGTCAGTCTCTGTGCAAGGAAAAAGTGATAATTCTTCATTGCCTAGACGATGGTCTAATCGAAAGCACAAGCCAGTCACTCAGTTGCAGTTGGACCCAAGCACCAGATCCTACGAATCTTCTCAGAGGGGAGGTGTTAGCGGGACATAGACTAGATTAAAGCATGCTCAATGCATGATTGTTTTGGTGCACGCTGATTGGCTAATTCTTATCCAATCAGCACTAGTCGATAGTCGGAGAATATTCTGGAATCTTCTTATGTAAAAACTATAAATATACCGACGTTTTCCCCTATTGTGCTTCCTACTGGCTTCTGACTTGCTATTTGGAATATAATCTTTTTCCTGTTCAACCGTGTTCTGATTTGGGGACTTGTCGAATGAATCGGTGTCCGAGAATACTAAGCCATAGGAATAGCTGGGTCATTAACCGTAAGAAAAGACAGAGATTATAACACCTGCCTAACCCCACTGCTCGAATGGAACAATGGAGAGAGGTGGTTGTATGCCCTCACTCTGCCTGAGGTGTTTGTATATAGGGCTTTTAGGATGTTAATAAACTTCTCAGGCACACCCTCCTTCAATAGACAATCCTAATTCGGTTTGGGCAGCTGCTTCAGTTAGGACAATGCTAAGAACTAAATGATATATTGGCCCAATACATGTATTTATGATAATTTTCTTCTCTTTATTGCACTACCCAGACGTATTAATTCCTGTTTACACATCAATTACTTGGATCTTTAACGGGATGGATACAGAGCTAGTTTAAAAAGACAAAAAATATACTTACTAAAACTCGCAAACTTATTAACAGGTTATAGAGAACTTTTTGGTTATTAGGTAAGAATAACTGAATATTCTAACAAGGAATACTTACCTTCACGAAAACCTTATCTTTATGTGAAACAGTCTAATAACAACAATTCTCCGGTCTGAATCCAAACTATAACAACTAAACTGCTTCTAGGGAGCTATCCAACAAGGGTTTAGTCAAAGGAAGAAAAGCAGTTACGTAAACGAAGCCTCAAAAATTTTAATGAGCTGGAGGCGATTAACATTTGTAAAACCTTTCGATTTTTAACCGAAATGCCTTAATTTGTTTGGAGAATTATCCATGAGGAACTATACACCTATTTTAATAATATGATGTTGAGGTGTGTGGGGTTGCCACTGCAACTTATTAGCTAACATAACTCATTACGTATGCAAAGGTTGGTACACTCATTATATTGAGCATGAGTTTTGTGGGAAAGAGCAGAACTTCACAAATATTGTCCAAAGAGACCCAATATATCTTCACCTTCCGAGTTAACTAACTAAACTGTTGATATATGATTTCCGTTTACAGCTATGTCCAATAACGTATCAAGTCGCTCGAGTCAGGGAGTAATGGCGAACCAACGAATGCCACAACTATATTTTTACGCATCCGTTTCATGTTTTAAACGGGATATTCTGATTATTTCATTATTCCCAGCCTCCGAAAGTAATGTGGGAGTCGTTGAAATATACACAAAACAAAACCGAGCTAGTAAACTAGATTTCCGTGATTATAGTGGTCATGAATCACTACTTTCAAAAGACAGAGAAAACACTATTCAATCGTGTTCTAAATTATCAATATATAGCACCATGGTAATTTGGGCAAACAGCCATAAAGAAAATAAGGCTGACTTCGAGGAGACTCGAAGTATCATCCCATTAATAACGTATGATCTAGGGTGGTTGAATATTTTAAACAGTTTTGAAAGTTTACTGCTTGATAGGCGTTTGGCGTCGATTGTGATGAATTTCCAAGCTCCCAATTTCGGGGAAAATTTGACCCGTCTTGTGAAAATTCCCCAAAGTTAGGAGCTTGGTTTGAAATGTGCCGACTACAGTATTTTGTATTGTCAGGTGGCAAAGTATTAATTTTTGCAGTAAAGCTCTGATAGTTTACAAAAGCACATCCATTAGCTTGAAAACCCAAACCTTTTCAACGACAGCTTACGACCTGAGCAACTTGTTTTGTGGGTGTATGTCTAGATAATTATCTAGACTGGGCACATTAATCTGCCCAGTTAGAAATGTCAAAACCGGAAGCGGACATCTTAAGATTGCTAGAAGCTACTACTTATGGGAATATTCTCTACTTCACAAATTCGTAAAAACAGCCATGAGAACAAACTTTAATCAAGCTTCTAGTTGTATTACTAACGCTAAAATATGTTGCATCACGTGGAAATCGAGGAAGTAAAAAAGACTGACCATCAATGAGGAAAACCCAAAATAATAAGCAACAGTGCAGCTGTGAGATAACGATAATCTGACAATCAACACTAGACACAGGTAACGCGGAATCCAAATGCGTTGCGGAAATTAGACTCAATCAAGCCGCTAGATCTGAGTAATTTTAAATAGTTCCATTATATATCCAATATTCTTGTTACGAGCTTAGGTAAACCAATTGATTTCTTTAGGCCTGCTTTTTACTGTTTTAGTACGGTTACGAGTTTTCGGTAGTCTAGCTACTCAGCTGCATTATTTCTATTCAGTATATAATAAATAGAATCACGACTATATAGTCGTGATTTGCGGGTTGTATGTCTTGTTACGTTATTATAATCATTTGACCCAAGACAGTACAGTTTTTAAAAACAAGATTTCGTCACTTATTCAGGTTAGGAATTGGCCAGAAGTGATGCGAGGAATGTTGAAGATGAAAATCGAATATCAAGAAGAGACGGTTGCTTCAGGAGGTAAATAAATAAATAAGTTGATTAAGTATTTATGTAGACAATGTAAGCAGACTTAAGAGTGAGAATAAAAGGAAAATAGAAATGATGATAAGTGAGGTAGGAATAAGCTAACGATACGTGATAATGATTATGGTAGATAAGTTACCAGACATTCATCAGCGACAGTGAGTTCAAGCGGAAGACGATAAACCTTCCTATAAATACAGGTCTATCAAATCTCCTCCTGAAGCTATCCACTGAGTGAACTGTGGTCACTTCTGATAACAGAGCACTTCGAATAGGGGCAACTCCTAACGACAAAAAGTGGAGACGTACCTCAGATTATGCTCTTCCATGTGCATTTCTTCCCAAGTTGCCTCGAGGCGTATGGTTTGAATGTCCTGATAGGATCCTCGTACTGAGGTGATTTGGAGCAATTAATATGTTATGTGTTGTGTGATTTTCAATGAATTCGACCTCATGTCATCCGACTTCACAAACAAGGACTATACTACCTAGCTATCCGGGACACGGATGACGCTCTGTGGGACTAAGGTGTATACACATTTTCCGGATTGAATCCTCCAGGGAGTTTCAATTACATGCACTCAGGTTTCAAACGGCACGAAACATTGGTCCAGCGTTTCCTATCAACCACTCACAAGCACCGCCTTACATCTCAGCACAGTGCACGCGATGTCGAGTCACCTTGACTAATGGCCATACCGAAACTCGATTGATAGAATTCGATCTTCAGTGCGAAGTATCTGACACACATGAAACTAGTCACCAATCAATTTTAAATATGGACCATTATTTGTCTAGCTGCCCCATACTTTAAGACCACTGGTTGAGCAGGACCTATATTTCCTTAATAAGTTTTGTGCTTCGTGTAGGGTGCTACTTATTTCCACGTATTCCTTTCTTTGGTCATTGACCTGTCTTTCCATTACCGTCAACATTGGGAATAATGCCACTAGTTGATAACAGACTGAACCCATCCTATCTTCTGCTTTCAAGAATAGAGGGAGTACTCTGTGTCCACTCTTTTGACTGTGACTTTAGTATGTGTTTCAACAGGTCACACACTGGCATTATTTTGGTTTCAGTATCCTTAATAAAATAGGGAGTGGTCTACTGAATTTACCATTCTACGAGAGATAAAATATCCGGAATATACCTCCATCAAAGCACCTGAATGCTCGATAGAGTGACCAAAACATTATAGAACCTTTGGAACTTCTGCACTGAAATGCATAGTTGCTTTCTTGTAATTACCGTGAAATACTATTGGATCTTCTTGTTCTTATATTCATGGGTGAGGTGTATCATTGGTAGTATAATTGTCACCACTGGTGAGTACAATGTTCACTAGCCCAATCCTTTTATAATCTAAATCTAAATCCCAACCTCTGGACGGTTGTTTTAATTCGACTTGAAGAACAAGATGATCAACATAACTAAATATTGTTTTCTAAAATTGTTCATTATCTTCAAACAGTGCCGTCAACAAATAAGTTTTCGTAATTCACTGACATATCTGACTAAATATCCCACTACCTTCACCATAACCTATGACTTCGTGACCATACAACATCGCAGCAGAGTACAAATGTGCACAGACAAACCTTTGATTTCATGGCACGACCAATTCATTTGTTCAGATCTTTATAATCATAACGACACTGCCGTATTAGCTAAAGAGACGAGTCGCATTGCATACACCCAATAATGACATACTTAAACCTTAAAAACTACTTTAAAATGATCGATAGTGGTTAAATGAACCACTCCTTAACTTGCATTCGGAATAAAATTTATTGAAAGAAATGTTATCACAAATGGGAATAGATAATGCTCAGTAAACCTCTGGTGGTTTTTCCAGACATTTGTTTCTCTACAAGTCCCTTCAGAAGCACCGGGCTGTTGGTGGAGAACTGAAGACATTTGGCTGATTAAAACCTTTATGTTAAATATTATTGGTTTCACAGTGTTTTTGGATGTATTTTTGTTTTACCCAACTTCTGAACTTGTTTGTTCATATCATTATTTTCTGACATTTTGGTTTCTCTTTGTCTCTAGTTTAACATTCGGGAGTTTTCGCTCCGTGAACCTACAAGATTGAAGGTTTGCTTTGTAATTGTTATAATTATTGTTGTTAGAAAGACATTTGGGTCGACTTTTTAAAATTGCGAATAAACTTTGGTACCTAAATTGGAGTTTGGTTCTATTGTTAATCTGAGTTCGTAAATTGCAAATAGATCGATATACCATACTTCAATAACGGGAATGAGCAAAACCTTGGGTGTAACAGAGCTGTTTTCGTTTTCTCTCGAAATATTGATAATTATGGTGTTACTGTTCCTGATAGATGGTATTCTGCAGATCATCATTCCAGTTGACATATGTCAGTGAACGAAGTAAACTCGGGTTGTACCGGAATGTTATGACCTAGCTTATGTCGAAGTTAGAACTTGCAGTCATTACCTAACATATATCCCTTTTACGTGGCATTGGTAGTCTGTGGCTGCTTTGCTAGGTGTGTGAGATGAGTGCGACATTACTGCGGAAATGTCTCTGTAAGAACAGATTGCAGACACATAAAGAGCAAAAACTGATGAATGGGCTAGTCCATAGCACACAAATGATTGATCACCGTTGGTCACCCTTAACCTTGACGATGCTTGCTAGATAGTCGAATGGTCACTGGTCTGTCGTCTAACGCAAAAATGGTGTAACCTAAATGATGACTTGGGTAGGGATCAGTTAATTTTCCTTAGCCTTACAATTATAAGATCTACCCACTCCACCAAAAAGGAAGTAGGAACTCTGAATGATGTCCACATCACACCTCTGAAATAGATGATCTCGAAGACAGCAGCGAACCCTATAATCATCTTAACATTGGTCCTTAACCAGACGACCTTTAGCGCCGAGTATGTAGTTACTTGAAAGATTTATATTACGAAACTGACGTGGAGAAAAAGTTTACAATGGATAACGCTGGAACATTCAATTCATTTTAATCGGATGGCATGACTCAGCTATGCAGACGTTGTCATTCTCGTGTAACGTATCTCTTTTACTCATATTAAATACATTGTTCTATCTTCAGCCTAAATGTGTTCTCCATCATATATTGGCGGTTCTTACGATAGAACGAGTAAGTGTAGACAATAATAAGACTTCTATGGAGGATCTTATAGATTAGGTAGTCACATCTATAATATCTACAACTTTAGGATTAGGTCTATTATTATCATACCACTAATAACGACGCAGACCATAATTCTACAGATCTACCAGGACACCACAACTTACTGGTTAGTGTAAACAAACGGATGCCGGGCTCCACCGGTGCAATTTGTCTCGACAAAGAGTAAGAAGAAATAGGGCTGGAAAAATCATACGGGTGGAATGATCATGCCCCAGCAATGACAAAGATGCAAAAAATATATCTACTTGTTTTCTGCAGTAGGAAACATTACATCACTTTATTTATTAATTCTTACGAACTGTGGGTTGGTCGCACTGTCAACGTCAGCGTTAAGACTAATCGAAAAATATCGTTCATGCGATGACAATGTAGTAGTATGCCACGGCAATACAATGAGCAGTTCTCCGACTTCATAGTAATGATTAGTCAGTTGTGGTGAAGACAATACGAATATTTTATCTGAATATGATATTGAGAGTGAAGCTACGCATGGGGATTGATTGAGTTGGAGAACTTGTTACTATTTACCGCGAACTCAATCTCTATCAACTCGACCATTCGTAAGAGAACTCGAGATGTGCATATATATGAACATGAGTCTGGGGAAAAACCTGACTATTTCGTGACATTTTGGTGTGAAGAGGAGAGTGAAGGCGTTTTGCCGTTAGTCCGACAAACTCCATCACATTGAGCAGTGATTTATTGCAGCCACGAAAGTATGTACTTCATGCAGGGAATTCGGACACCAGTGTAAAACTATTTTTGACACGTCTGTCTAGGAATATAGAGAGAATACCTCCATATATGTATTTCCTATTGATTAATCCCCCTGTAGTTCTGTTGTATGTAATGTTTCCTTCACTGGTGTCTATATTTTCGAATACTAGTTCCCCCTATAGTGGCTGATTGAAACTATCATTACTATCTTTTTTACAGATTCTGATTTGAAAAAACTTGTTGATTTTATCACGTTTCTAATAACTGTTTTGCCTTGGTTCTACCCACCACTGTTTTATGGCTGGTTTCCTTTGGAACTGCTGTATTTAATTTGTCACTTTGTGAATCGATTATATCTGATCCATGAGGTTGATCTAAAGCAACGTTCTCTGTTTGTTTGTGGAACGTTTGGTATTAGTGAACGGTAGTTAGTTTTATTTCTTTTAGAATCATTACTTTCTAGTTTATTTCTCAACCTCGGAGCTGATTGTGCCAGCAAAAGTATTTTTCATGAGTGAGTTTTGTCAAGTGTCTGTATCCGTTTAAAAAGCACCTTTCAAGAATAATTACTTTAACTTGTACACGAAAGTTTTCACAGT